AGGAAGGGCAAGAGGGCAGTGACCTCCTCTTTCAGACACGAAGTCTCTTCAGCCAGCCAGGCGCAAAGAGAGCGGAACGTGGCGAAAAGGAAGGGGTCATCATAGTGGCTCGGGTCCATCTGCGGAAGCAAGGTTTTTGTTCATTTAGATATGATTTTTATTTCACAATAATCTGGAATTGTGTATGTGTCTGCATGTACACAGACTATCATTGAGTTATCTATGGGTATATAAAAATATTCCCATCTATAAAGATTAGGTCTGTCAAAATTATTACATGATTGCCTGACTGCAATTACTTAAGCTGACCACAATTTTCTGCACAGTTGTTAGATTTCACACGTTTACAAATAGAATATGTATTGGTACGTTTTCATCAGTTGGACTGAGACAAATGCCCACTATTTCTCAATGTTTTAATAGCAAAAGTAAATATAACGTTGTTTATATTTTATTCAATATTATTTATTACCTTTTTCTGAGAACACTGGCCATAAACGAGGATCAGAAGAACCTTCTGTCCAGGTTACTAGGTTAGTTCTTTTACCAAGGCAATGATTATCACCTTTTACACATCACCATCAGGTTACTTGTCCATCATTGATGATATCCAATTACTTGAAGGGGAAACTACAGCGCAGTGTCTTTCATTTGGGCTTGTAATTCCAAGAGGCTTATGGACAAAATTCTTTTTTTTCCCCCTGATTCCTTGGTCCAGATCAAACCAAAAAGCCTCATGAATGCTTTGTCTGATTTTCACAAAGACCTACACAAGATTAATGACCTACAATAGCAGCTTAATGTCTTAAAAACATGGCTGACATTCGCCAGTCAGTTTTCAGTAGGCGTGACGACGGGTCTAAATTGGCAAAAAGGCTAAACAACTTTGCAATTCCAACTTATGTCAGAAACTTTGTTACACATTTATCTCATAATACATAAAGATTAAAAGGTCAGGATGCATGAACATAATATATCTTTCTTGACCCCGGCTTCACAATTAGAACAGATAGAGGCGTTTTGGTAAACGCTGACTCTATCATTTATCTTCTATTTATAGACAAAAAAGGCCCTAAAATTATATTAGGCATTACTGTGCCAATTCATGCTTGGACCCCTGAACTGCCGCTTCTATCTATATTTGTTCCTATATTCCCATATACTTAAGTAACTTTCATTTTTCTCTCACCTGCTGGAGATAGTAAATGACTGCAGAGTAAGCCTCTTCCAGAGCCCCGAGAACCTGCCTGCTCTGCTGCAGACTCAACCCAGCAATGGCAGTCTCTGACTGGCCTGGACTGGGATTAGCCCCCTGACTACACGCTTGCTCCATGGCTGCCTCCATGATGCGGTAACAGGCAGTGAGGGTGTGCTGCTGCTGAGCAGAGAGCTGTGTACCTGGTGGCTCCTCCAGAACCATCCTCACCTCCACACATGCCCGATTTACCAGCAGACAACAGAACTTGGGCGAGCCAGCTGGCTTCCAGCCAGATAAGTCCAGTAGGCAAGCGGACAGAACCAGAACAGCACCCAGCTGATCTATGCTGAGTTTACCTTGGACCATTGGACATAATGTTGCCCACAGACTGGGAACGACAGCTTGGAGCTCTTGGGTCTGTAGCTCACATTCTGGTGGAGGGAGAAACTGTGGTATCCTAAAGCACATCTCCAGGCGATCCTTCTCTGGAGCTTGGCTAAAGTTCTGGGAGATGCTAGCAAGAAGAGAGAGAAGTTCTGACTGGTGTTTGCTCCACGCCCGCTGCCTAATACTGCTGGACAGGAGGTGACCTAGCAACGGAAGACCCTTCTCATGGCTGAGAGTCTGTTTTTTCAACACAGCCCTGCAAAGAGCAGGTATGGTACCACGGGCCAACAGCTGGTCAGGGCCACGTGAGAGGGAACATACAGTGTTCAGAACCTGATAGCAGTCAGCTGCTAATGCCTCATCCAGTTTACATACAGCTGGTTCATCTTCTTTGCCTAATCCAGAGGAAACCTTTGGAACTTGTTCTCCTGGAGTGCTTTGGTCTGTCTGAGAGGAACAAGCGTTCGTATTTGGAGACGAGTCAGAACATGTGGACTGAGACGCTGTCGTGTGCTGGGCTTGTTTCTGACTGACTGGTACTCCACTTTCGAGCAGGCCCAGGAGGAGAGGGATTGTACTCAGCAGCTGAGGATGGGTGGCCATGTCTGGGTCTGTGCTGAGAGCAGCCAGCAGGGCGGTGCCCAGAGACAGCAGCTCCTCAGATGGAAGCCCAGAGCTCGCGCTCCCCCGGACGGCAGTTACCAGGAGGCGTGCGGGGAGGTTGAAACCCACCGCTTCGAAGACGCGATGCAGGGTCACCCTGTCCAGCTGACTGGCTGGACATAACCGTGTTATCTTGAGGAAAGATATTGAAGCAACTTAGACCACAAACAATACTATAGCCTGACATCATATCATTTTGCTGATATTACCCCACAAATTGACTGGCATTGGCAGAAAATCCACTAATGAAGCACTGGTAATGTTTCTTTAAGTGTTATATAAGAATTCCACATTAAGGACCACAACAATACTTTAAACAACATCCAAACATACTTTCAGGAGACAAGGGAACTCCTGTTTGACAAGTCAACATTGAAAGACTTCATGTTATGTTTTAAGGTTTGGATGAGTGGCTTGCTTTATATTTACACTACCTAAGACTATGTGTGAGTTTAAGAAATGTAACAATTCAGAACTGACAATCATATATTAACAACTGTCAATCTTATCAGTCGGTAAAACTAAAACTAAAGAAATCTGCCTGACTGTTGACCATATAAAATTTAATGGGCCACTATTACTGGTTATCAGATTTTTTTTAGCTCCTTAAAATCTGTATTTGTAACAAAATGTTCATATCAGTCAGGCCCTGAAAAAAAATGTAAGTACTTTTACCAATTAATAAAAATTAGTTTTGGTCATATTATTCAGCTGACAGAATGACTTTACCAGGAGAAGTGCTGCCAAAATGTGGCTGTCATTCTTGGCATGAGTGAGTGCATGCAGACAGCGCTCCAGGACCTCTCGCTGGGCAGCGGACAGGCTGTTAAGTTCAGGTGGAGGACTAGAACCATCTGCCTCTGACTGCTGCTCACTGTTTGAATGATGCTGGATGGAGACCTCCTCTGGGCCTACTAGACTTTCAGCCATCCTCAGTGCCTGTCAGCATATCTGTAAACACACCAGGACGTGAGACCTTGCAAGAAGATCTTACTTATAATTCACGGATCTCTTAGTATTTCAGACGAACAAATGCACTGCTACAAGATACAGGTTTTTAAACATAAAGACTTATATACTTTGACAACACAGGCGATTCTGGAAATTTTTACAATTCCTGTATGCAATCAGGTAGGTTGGAGTCAAGTGGCTCGAGCCAGAGCAGAAAGCAGAGGGAACTCTGTTTAGATCAACATACGGAATACAGTTAAAATGTTTGACTACCTCTATGTTTTACAAATTATAAGAGCCAACATTCATTGGCAGAACAAATCAAGTTAACTAGTGGCACAAGTGGTTTGCAAAGTTAGCCAACTAGCTAATTAGCTGGCTTGTACTTCTTAAAACGGATATCTAAAAATAATGTTACTATTATACCTTTATTCGCCGATTAAAAGGAAAAAACCCAAAGCACGATATATATCCGACCGAGAAAATCCAAAGGACCGAAACAACAAACTACAAGGACAACGTGTCAAGCTACTTACGTTGTCCATGCGACCAATCACTGACTTCCGGTATGGGCTAAACTTCAAATTAAAAGTCAGAAGTGGGAATTTCAAAATAAAGAATCCGTTAAAGTGTACATGCACTCCATTTTTTGTCATGTTATTATTTTTCTCCCTGAGGTCCAATAATGAGATTCCTGTGAATTATGTACCAAAAATGTAAGTTCTTCCATTATCATTTTATGCCTTACAATAAACAGGCTGCTTTTGTTGCTGTGATTTTAAGAATGATACTAACTGCAATATAATTAAACTGCTGCAGGCTAAACAGAAGATATGTGTAAATGCCCTGGTTTTGATGATCTCACAAACACTGGGTTTCGAGCGATACGTTTTGAAACTTTAACAATGATTAAATGCAGCATCAAATTCTTAAATTTTTTTTAAAATAGGAAAATTCAGTTTTCCATGATATGATTCAATTAGACCAAAGGGCTGTTGGTAGTTCAACAAGGGAAGCCTCAAAATACATTATAAAGTACACTTTTGAGTACTACTACTTTTCAAATGGCAATGACTCACAATTAAGCTGATACGAGGAGATGCTGACCTTAAAGAACTTTGGAGCTCAGGAAGAAGTAACCTCATCTGCTGTGAAAATCATCTTCTGGAAACACTCCACTTTTTACCATGTGGTTTGGAGAACAGAGCTGAATCAATCCTGAAGTACCAATACTTCAGATTCTGATATTTTTTTAGAGAATTGATCCCATCATATAAAATATTGAGACAAATTGTTTTCATTATGCAAGAATCTTTCTATGAAAAAGTAAAAAAATCAATGAATGTGTTAGAGAGGTACTAATCTTTCTTCTGTCCTTTGCCTCTGCTGTGTAAGGTAAAATATTCCCAAAAATAAAACTTATTTTGTATTATAATGAAAATGTAACCTATAAAATATTAAATAATAAAAATATATTATGACTGAAATATAATATTATATAATTTACTATTATACCATCTTCAACATTTCATATAATGCATTTAAAAATAGTAATAGTAAATAAAATGGCTATATTTATACTGAAGTCATCACGACTCCTGGTTCTTATCACCACCATCGGGAAGAAAATGAGTAGTGAAGTTTCTCTACCACGTACTATTTTAAACCACTCTGAACGACTTTCCATCTCAACGACTCAAATATGCAGAAATTTGAACCTACGGTGGAGTTCCCCTTCAGGAACGCCGTAGAGCAGAGCGCTGTTCAGAATGGAAGATTTTGCTGCCACCGAGCGGAGAAACTGGACCGAGAACGACCGGAATCAGGAAGTGACGAAAGCCGCGGCTAATGCTGCTCCTGCGTTTGAAAGGGAAAGAAGCTGTTCGGCTTATTTTACACGCAGTTCGTGGATATTCGGGCGGTATTTCACAGTAAGTCAGAGTAAGTCAGAGTAAAGGCCCGGAGAGGTCTTCAGCTTTCACCCTTTTTGCCTTACTTATTATGGCTTTCATTCATTCGTTGTCTAGGTTCTGTCGGTGTCTGGCCAGCAGGGTCACTTCTTCGAGAGTACAGCTGCTCACTGTTTAGCGAACTTTAGTTACTGTTACACATTTTCTCTCCCGGCTTCTGTAGTTTGTTGTTGTGTCTTGCCTTTTCCTTGCAGATGGCGGCCTCTCTGCCTCAGAAGGCTCCTGGTCAGGGAATGGGCAGTCTGCCTCCTCAACAACAACAACAACAGCAGCAGCAGCAGTCCCATCTTGCTCCAGGCTCCGGCTCAGGTCCCGGACAGCCCCCCATTCCCCCAAACCAGGGGGCCCTGAGGGAGATCTCTCCTGTTTTCCTCTGTCGGATCGGCCAGGAGACAGTACAGGACATCGTCACTCGTACTATGGAAATCTTCCAGATCACACGCGCCACTCAGGTGTGTCCAGAGCTTTATATTTCACACGAATCTGTTTTATAGAGAACAGGTGGGAGATCGCATTTTGTGACATCTGACGCTGTGTATTTTTCTCATATACTGTGCTGCACTACATCTAGTTATACAGGACAAATGCTCTCTTTTTAACTAAACATGCAGTGAGAAAGAGTTTTTAAGTACTGACAATATCTACAATATGCTCAGGAAAGCATGTTGTTATATACCGTGATGTGCTTTATTACGATCACGATCACGATAAATATTGTCATATTGCCCAGCTATATTATAGATATACTGAACATGTGTTTGTAATAGTTTTAGTTGAGAATTTTTTTTTTTAGGTAAGGTTTACACACTAAACTATGACTTTGCAAATAAAATACACCCAAAGTAGATTTTAACATTAACCGGATTTGAAACATTGGCCTGCTAAACGTTAGTAGTGCCAATCAGTTCTTGAACATGCGATGCTTCAACTTCTTACATTCACATTCAGCAGCCACATTTAGTGTGACAAGAAAAGCCATAGGTTTGATTGATCTGAGAATTTTTTTTTAGTTTTGTCTCCATCAAGTTCAGAGAACAAACATATAGGCCAAAGGAAATTTAAAAATTCAGATATGAACATTAAAGAGATACAGAGCAACATCACCACAGTTGTTCTGCATCCTTTTAATGTTTGTATCTTAGTTTTGTAACCTTTTTTATAGCTAAACAAAATTACCAGGCTTAACAACCCTGCAGGAGGCAAATGAAGTTTAAAGTTTTTGAGAACAAGATAAAAGATTTCAGTATATTTCATCTTTTCAATTGTCCATTTGCTAATTCATTGGAATTTCAGTAAATTACTGTATATGAGTGGCTGGGGTCCATAAAAAGCTGATGATATTTTATATTTTGAGGGTAAAGTGGATATGTCCTAGACCAATATTTTATATAATTAATTTAAGAATTGCTTTATTAATATTAAGTCATTTATATGTTGTATGTTGTGGTTCACTTTTCATATTTTACTAAATTAGCCCTGCGAATATGTCTCCTGGAGCTATGATGCATGAAATACAATTTCCAGTATATGTCACCTCAACTGATGTTGTAATTGACTGCTGTGGGGAACTAACCTTTTGTTATTGTTCCTCAAAATTCATGCTGTTTTCAGACTCCTTAACAGAAACCATCTTGTGAGAATGGCAGCACCAAGATTTTTAGTAAATTTTTCCTTTCTCCAGTTTTTTCTCCAGTACTACAAAGTGAAATCAAAGCTCTTTTTTTCTACAGTGCTTACAATCACATCTGTTGAGTCAGAGAACAGCCTTTCTATATGTAATGCTATATGAAACCTTTGCCATTGTGTCAATTTTGACACCTTTGGGGTAGCAACTTCAAACTGCTTATCTGTTGTACAGTTTGTTTGGATGATTGAGGATAATCTGAGGGAGCAGACTGCTAGCCTGACATTATGTAGGATGCTGCAACTGAAATCAATGTAATTTGTTTACTTGAAGAGCAGAAAGGCAAATCTCTGTTGATTACAAGACAAATACTTTTCCTTTCATACAGCAGAACTGCCGAATTGGCAATGATGACCTTACAAACTTTCCACTGCTCTGAGAAGTTTACAAACACAAAAAGACTGAGAATGTAAAACACTCCGGCCTCTGGACTTGATCCTGTTGACTCCATTTTCCAGTTTGCAAAACATCATAAATGAATTCATAAAAGAAAGGTTAACAGTAATGTAGCATAAGGAGTATTACATTTTTCCCACAATACTAACTTCTTTCCTGCTGTGCTTGTGGTTCAGCCATCCTTTTTGTGCTTATTGCCCTTTTTTAAGGTCAATGCATCTGTTAAAGATCTACTATGTGTTTTGATTTGTCAAAAGTAGCAATGACTGGAACAGTCTACATAAATCCAGCTGCCCAGCTGCTTTTATAAAGCCAGTGTGCTTGTGTATGTGAACATGGGCTTTATGCACTGATTTAACTGTATGTTCTCTTTAGTTACCAAATGGTGTGACCCAGAGTCAGGCAGTGTATCAGGACCGCTTTGGCAAACTTCAGGAGCACCTGCGTCAGCTAACCCTGCTCTTCCGCAAGCTCCGTCTGCTGTACGAACGCTGTGTAGAGATGACCTCTGACCTTCAAGAGTCTTCTGCTGAGGTGAGACAAGTCTTTATCAGTGTCTTGTGTTTAACGGATTCAGTGGATTTTCAGTAGTTTACTGTATATGAGTGGCTGGGGTTCATACAAAGCTGTGAACCTCCTACCTACCATTTGTCTGCCTGAAACCTCACGGTTCTGCTCCATGGAAGCTTATTTCTAATCAATATTTCATGCAATTAATTTAAGCAATTACTCTAGTGATATTAAATTGTTTACATGTTGTGTTTTTTTTCATTTAGCACCATTATTTCCTGGATTAGCTTTGTAAATGAAATCTCACAGAGCTTCATGTCTGTGTTTGTTACACACAGTTGGTGCCATATGTTGGAGAGGAGATGGTGCCAGTGAGAGTGGAGCCCTGCGGTCCTGCAGTGAGTCAAGACAGACAGGAAGTTTTAGAGGTTTGTTTCAAGTTTTCTTTTTCTGAAAATAAAAGAAAACAAAACTAAGCTTCTAAAACATTACCTTCAATGGGAACTCAATAGTGCACTGGGAGGAGGAGTGGAGTCAAACTGTGATGCTTCCAGGGCACAGCTCTGCAGTGTTTAATGTTTTCCTTCTTCTAACACTGAAATTTAACTCATAATGATCTTGCTAAATAAAAATACATTTTACGTCTTACTTTAGTTGAGTCTGCTATTTTAAAGTAACTAGATCTGAAACTGGTAAAATTACAATGTTACTTTATTGGCTGAGTAAATTTTTTTGTTCGTTTGTACATTATTTTAGAGCTACTTCCAAATACACCAAGTGATGTGTATTTAAAAAAGGGCCAAAGTGTCTTTACCTGCTGTATTGATAACACAGAAAATTCGGCAGGCGTCACACTAAAGGCACATGGTGTTTTGATCCAGCAATGAATTGTGAGCACTCTGACTTAATGTGGCCAATACTTTAAAAGGATATAATAGCAAACAAACTATGAGTCACAAGTCCTTTAAGTGTGTCCTGCTTTTGAATACATTGTTTTTTTCCGAATGGTGGTCATGCTGTGGACATGCTCAACATCTTGGTTGACTTTGGTTTTGCTGAAACCTAAATAATGTGACGTGTGTTACATGTATGTGACCTATCTGTTTTGTAATTGTAGTTTTTTTTCATCCTTGATGGGCCTTACTGTCACTTGTAGATTAGGGATGCACTAATATAGGATACTTTACATGTACACATCTGTCAATGCTAATACCAATACATAAACATTAATAAAATGTCTGTGTTGATATTCTGAAGATATGTCACTTTTATTTCTGTAGGGTTAGAAAAGCAGTAAAGTTAATAAAACACAGACATTTAAGCAGCCCAGTGTTACCTAAACATTCTGCTCTTCTGGAGTACATCAAATATCATTTTGAAATACCGGTCAAATCTAATCATCAGTCTGATGTTGATGTTTGGTTTTTATTTTATTTTTTTTTCCCAGAAATTATATGCCAACACTAATGTGATACTGATATACACAATATGGCCAAAAATATATGGACACTTGACCATAAACATCCAAAATCATGAGCATTAATATAGAGTTGGGCTTTTCCCAACCTGTTGACATAAAGTTGGAGGCATATAATTGTCTGAAATGTCTTTGGTGTAGCATTAAAATGTAAAAATTAAGATCTTCAAATTGCTCTCAAATCTATCTAAATGTTGGTGCATAGGTCAAAAACAACTACACACAGCAAAAGTAACCAAATGACTCACATACCAAAATGTGATGAAAGTCTGTTGACTGAAACATTTGCTGCCTTGCTTTTATTTCACTTGTGCACTTTGCATTTGAGCACCTATGTCTGACAAATAAAGAAAAACTTCTGATGTCTCAACTAAAAAAAACATTACTTTGTAGGTTTTTTGGCCCCCTTTTTGGTGTGAGTCATCTGATTACTTTTGCTATGCATGGAGTAGCATTTAATATTGCCCTTCAGTGGAACTAACACCATGTTCTAACAGCAAACAAGCATTCACATGTAATATCAGACTGCAAGGCAAAGCCTGCAGGATGTCTACACTGGACATGTCAAGTGTGCACATTGAGTCAAAATATGAACAACCATGAACCTATCAGAAAACAGCTGGTTTACTGATGAAGCTGCCCAGGTGTGGTCTGCGACATTGATTTAAGAGAGTGTATTACGGATTACATTTTATGCCCTGCTGTTGGGAAGCTCGATTGTATCTGCTAACTTGTATCTACACAGCTAATTAGCTATCCTTATCAGTCAGTGACACAAAAGAGGTATTCATTTCTAATTTTAAGTGCTCTGGCAGTGTCTCTCTGTTTTTTTGTTTTTTTTTGTTTTTTTTTACTGGAAGGGTTGTTGAGAACCTCCTTTGGTCATCTTTGTGGATGAGTTTCTCTTCAACCTTTTAGAGTTGGAATGACAAAGTGACACAGTGTGATGCATCAAAAATAGAAACAGGGTGTCCGTTGAAAAAGGCCATTACCGCTCCTCCACCAAACTTTACTGTTGACACTGTGTATTCCGTTACATAGTGTTCTCCTGGCATCTGCCAAACCCAGATTCATTTATCAGACTGCTAGACAGTAAAGCATGACTCTTCAATCCAGAGAAGATGGTTCTACTGCTCCAGCTCAGTGGCTGTACATCAGCGCTTTGCACTACTGCTTTGTGCCATTTCACAATAGCACAAAAAATACTTTATAAAATAACAAAAAAAACTTTAGTCACTGAGTGTTTCAGTATGACACATTCTACTGCCAGTATTTGTCTATGGAGATTGCATGGCTGTGTGCTTGACTTTTTATACTTGTTAGCAATGGGTGTGGCTGAAACACCAGAGCTCAATTAGGACAGCTGTCCACATAGTTTTGGCCATATAGTGTATCATCATGCATCCCTAATGCAGATATTGTAAGAATAACATAATGGAAAATTGAATGCCTGTGTAATCTGATGGACATGTTTGTCACCTCTGCAGAAAGTGAGGCAGAAGAATCAGGAGATGAAGGTGCTGATGGATCAGATGAGAAACCTCCTGTGGGACATCAACGCCATGCTCACAATGCGCAAATGACCAGAAAAGCTTTCCTCTTCCGCTGCCATCCACTATGTCTAGATCTAGTAACCTCCTCCCAGGAGACACTGAGAAACACACTTCTTCCTCCCAGTCAGGTGCTCTTACAAGGCAGCTGAGGACAGCAGGCTGCCTTCAGATCACTGGTACCTTTTAGTACCATGTGGTGTTTACTCTCGATTAATGAGATTCATTCAGCCTCAGGTGGAGAACTTGCTCCATTTTATCTCGGCTGTGATAATGTAACTTTTTGCCTTTAAGCACTGAACTAGTATCGTTTTGTATTAGCAGGGACTTAATAATATGAATTCAACGCCAAGCACAAGGACCGACTCTGAGTAAATGCTAGAGGCATAGATGGCGGAACAGATTTCCTTTATAAACGCTAGCATGGAATCCTTGGCCCTCTGTGTAGTGACTGTGTGATGTGATCACGCATTTGCACCCTGGCAGCTATGTTCTCAGGTGGAGAGAGTGCATACGTTTGTGTGTTCATGCATGTGTGTGTGAGAGAATGAATATTTTTCCTTTAGTACTGTACACCTGTTCATACACCTGTTCATCTAAAGAAGGAGTAGTAGGGCACATTTTTTGTAAACTGAATGAGAAATAATGTCCCAAAATCATTTTGTACATAAAATAAAAATTTCAAAACATGTTGAATTTGTATTATTTGTAAAAAGACAAACGGAACCTTGTTTCTTTAAATATGCAAGTTCACTGGCAGTATTGCATTTCAGAAATGTTTTATTGGTCATGTAGTTACAACTTCATAGACTGAGTCAATCCTTTTGATGACTCCTCTGGCACACTGTAATGTGTTAGTCCATGATACAATTAGCATCTTGCTAGGTGCTAATGTCAGAACTCTCCAACCATGAAACGGCAGCTGGTGCAATCAATAGCTTTACCAAGCATTCGCAACTTGGATGAAGCTTTTCCGCTGTGCTGTCCGCCCAAAATGAAGATCCAGTCAAAGGTAGATTGGGGGAAGCCTCCCTTCTTTTTTCTCCACTGGTTGATCCCCTCAGGCACTCTGGGCACCGGCTCCAGACAAGGCTTACTGTCACATTCTACAGAATCCTGAGACCACTCCATGAGGGACAGTGTCTGTCAGTCAACATCTTTTCGCTGTCCAGCCTTCTTACTGTTTGAGCGTCTATCTGGCTCAGGCACGCTCAAGATCTTTGTACTTCTTGCGCAGGACAGACACGTGGTCCTTGAAGAGAACAGGGTCCAGGCGAAGTTGAGAGTGCACCAGGGGCATATAGCCAAACCAGCTAGCAAAGGTGTTGACACAGTCCTGCCTTTGATTAAAGTGCTCAGGGGTCGCCCACGGGGCCATGTTCGTGCTCTGGGAAGAGAGGAATTGAAATATAGTAAATGCTGTGAACTGTGACAGTGGTCTTAGTCCTGGACAGTGGTGGATGTACTTAAGTTCTTGTTTAACTATCTCTACTTCATTAAAATATTTACATTTTAAGCAACTTCTGCTTTTGCTCCAATGCATTTCACAGTAAACCTTCTACTTCTCACTCCACTACTTATTACTCTAAAGTGACAGAAAACTGGGATTTTTAAACAATATCCAACAATTATGATGCACTTTCAAATGGAACTAAACCAATTATAGGGGATTTAATCAATTTTCTAAACCAAAGACACAAGAAAAGTCAAGAGAGGTGTAGGATGTGGATTAAGTAGTGTGCAGGACAATGGTACCACTTTAAGGTACATGCTAACTGCTTCTAAATTTCAGATGTGTTCCAAGTACTAAGCATTACACAGGCTAAATTGACAACTATGAAGTGATATAGCTAGAGTAACTTTTCTATTTGGTACTTAAGTAGAAATAAAAATATAGGACTTCTGTGTTTAATCAAGTAATATTTAATAGAGTAAGTGTATCTCTACTTTCACTCATGTACAGGAGTTGTGTGCTTTGTTCCCCTTCACGACACATTTTGGTATTTTCCCTACTCTGCACACCTGATCCAAACAATTATTCATAATCATAAAAAAGAAAACCAGAGCACCCAGTATTGTTGGAAAACAAACTAGACTAGTTACCATTTACTTGCCTGTTTGTGATCTGCTCGAAATAGGAATTTCAAATATGTCTGAGAAAACGTTGCTACTTGCACTGCTGTTATCAGGCTGTTGCTCACTTCCATGTCTCTTCTTGTGCACTCATTTGCTAGAGTGAACAGCCAATCAGAAATTGATTCACTTGGCTCAACAGCCAATCAAAGAACTCTCTTATTTCTGGCATCTGATGCTGATTAAACATGTGCAGTTGGCTGAACTAGTGCTGACAGTGCGGGACATGCCACAAAAACTATGCTGTCAGTTGGCTTAATCGAGTAATACTTAATTGAGTAAGTGTATCTCTACTTTCATTCATGTAGAGGAGTTGTGTACTTTGTTTGCCACTTGTCCTGGAGTTTCCCTTCATGGCACATTTTGGTATTTTCTCAACTCTGCACACCTGATCCAAACAATTACCTAATGACAAGTGACCTAATGCTCACTTCCTTGTCTCTTCTTGTGCACTAATTTGCTAGAGTGAACAGCCAATCAGAAATTGATTCACTTGCCTCAACAGCCAATCAAAGAACTCTCTCATTTCTCATGCTGATTAAACGTGTGCAGTTGGCTGAACTAGTGCTGACAGTTCGGGACATGCCACAAAAACTATGCTGTCAGTTGGCTTACTGTGTAAGGGCCATAAAAAGGGCAAGGCAGAGGTAAACCAAGACCTCAGTACTGTGGTTCTTGAGCATTTTCTATACTGGCGCATGCAATATTACATCACCCTGGCGGTGACTGATGTTATTGTGGAGCACTCACCTGTGGGCCAGGCATCTCTTTATACTGCTTCCTCTGGGCCACTTTGATGGGTGGCAGGTGTGTCACGGACGACACCAGGAAGTTCATCAGGATGTCCTCACAATTTGAGGTACGGTCCACTAGCGCCCGTAATGAGGGGGGCAGGTAATGAGAGAACAGGTAATGGTAATACCTTTAGGAAGAAAGGAAAGACTGTATGAGCAGATGATTGATTTAAAGTGCAAAGCCAGATTCTTGGACCACTAAAGGAGAAGTTGAAAGGTGAAAAATCAGATTAACACAATTTCCCCCTTACCCCAAACAGAGTCACATTTGGAATCTGAAAATGTGCTTCTTTAGTTTTGCACTGGTAGGACAAGGCTAGTGTAGCTAGCTAACAAACCATGGAAGCTTATACCTCACCACTTAGCATACTTGGCCTCGGGTGACTGACAAAGTATGCTGCACTGTATTTTTAAGAGGAAAACAGTAAATTATTATTTTTTTGCTGAACTATTCGTTCACTGTGGGACCTGAGTTAATAAACAGCATAAATGGCCTGTACTGTCATTGTAGAGAGAGTAATGAGTTGCCATATCAGGTCTACATGCATCAACTGATTTGCATATTTCTGTGATGTCATTTTCTTTTTTTTTTTAACAGAAATGTTATTGGTTTTTAGAAATTAAAAGATGTATTCATGAGCAGTGAGTACATGTTGCCATGAAAACAAGTAAATACATACACCCCCTAACCCCAAACAAAGCCATCTTCAAAAAAGTAAACACTTTAAAAAGGAACACTTAAAAGAGAGAGAAAAAGAAAGATCCATATTCTTTACAATTCACTAAAACTGGGCAGTGCAGATCCCATATATATTGCATTTCACTCCAAGAGTTCAGGAGGCAGAAGTTCTATGATGGATTTTAAATTATCATAAATAACAGGTCATTGTGCTGAGTGCTGCAGCTAGTCGTTCAGAAGGAAGTATCCTAATTATGACCCTATACTAACAGAAGGGAGTCGTCTCTCCTAGTCAATTATTACGAATCCATTTCCTAGCTGGCGACACTGCTTTGGAGGGGAGGAGTCATATCTTTGAACTTGGTACAGTGACTGTGATCGGTTACCTGTGATAGAAGGCTGCTCCAGTCAGCACAATTGAGTATTCATTAGTCCATTTGGAGGTGTAGCCCCATATTTTCTTCACAGGGTCCCAGAAATGACTTCTAGGAGGATATCCCACAATCCTCTCTGGGAAACTCTGCCACACATGGAAGGCAAAGTTGACCTGAAAGAGAATATAAAATATTTTATTAGGGGGCTCCCAGTTGGGCAGAATACTTTATTACTGTATTACGTTACTGGCCTTTAGGTCAGTGCATTCCATACGTCATACAATACAAAAAAGTAACATACTAAGAATACATTCAGAATACATTTATGATAAGTCTTGATAAGGGGAAAAACTCTGCTCTGTTGCATTTCTTCCTTAATTCAAACTGTTCCTCGCTGTTACTGGTTGGCAGTGTTCTGCAATTAATGTTTCAAGAAAAATTCCCAAATTACATCCTCTGCATTTTTTTTTGGTTCTCATCACCTGCTTCAGTCCACTGCCGCTTCCACAATCCCCCCCAGCAGGACTGCTGCCTGTGTCATGAACTAAGCAATGTGCCATATCTCAATAATAAAATCTTGTAAACTTGAATATAAACAGGGCAGCCATGTGATTTTCAGTTAATAACATGTATGTATCACCTGCACGATCACTCACAAACATGTCCACTACTGAGTTCAGTCTAGTCTCCTCTCAAAAGAGCTCAGCGACACTGAGATGAATAGCTGACTCACACTGATTTATCAGTCTACTCATGCTTTAACAAAAGTTTGTTGAGTTCCTCTTTAGAGTGCGTCTAAAGAGTATGTTCGCTGTGCACCATGGGCTGATTTTAAAATAGTTAATAAACAAACTTTCTTTTAAAGATTGTATTTTTTCTATAGTGTGAAAGTACTATAAAAGTATTCTCCTAATAATGTAAAAAGTAGCTGTATTCGTAATAGCGCCTTTACAAAATGAAAGGCTTTGGTCCAGAATGCATCATTGAGCACTTGCAAGAGTTTTCTTTTTTTCATGATATACATTGGTAGAGGTGTATTAATGCTGTATTACGATCAATACAAGGTACATTACTGGGGCCTCTTTTCTTTCTAGCCCTTGTAAATGATGCTGCTATTGATTTTCTTATCCACGTGTGTCAAGGTCCCAATATAACCTCTCCTCAGATGGCCCTGGATAATCTACCAGGTGGGTTTATAGTAGTAAAATGACATTGAATCCAACCAAATGCAACATCATGACAGTGACTTTTAAGAGGAACCACCTCCCCCTACACCCATTTACTTGTCTGGACAACATCTACCATCTTGCAAAATTATCAAGGTATTTGGAGTTTTGATTCACAGGCTTTATTGTAAAGAAAGCAAGTTCAAGACTTCATTTCTTGAGAAGACCTGACTTTGATATACACTGATTATATTCGCCCCATACTAGAGTACATCTGCCCAGCTTGGCACAGTATCTGTCAAAGCAGATTGAGACTGTCCAGAAACGTGCATGCCAAATCAGCGGCAGGGCTTATTCTATGTATCAAGAAGCCCTTCAAGCTCTTGCATTACAAACCCTTAAAGAGAGAAGAAACATAGTAGGTAGACAGTTTGCCTTCGATATCCTAAAGACCTCTTTCAGAGAGTGGCAACCACCTTCAAGAGCCCAGACATCAGGCTGGAGAGCCAGAGACAGTAACAAACTACAGAGCCTAAAAATGAGAA